TTAATAAAAGCTTACTTTTTGTCAATTGTTATATTGTAAATATGGGTAACAGCCTGGGATTTAAAAAAAATACTGTTATTAGCTATACGTATGCCTTGAGTTTTGACTTGCTATCACTAAAAAAGGAGAAAGGGAGGGTTACTGAGAGAATGTGGGAGACTAAGACCTGATAGCAACTAGGATCTATATCTAGAATAATGTATAGGGGCTCAGCTTTTGTAAGACGTATTTAAAATTAGAAAACACAGATCAAAGCATAAAATGAAATCAGATACTTCCCAAATCCATCTTCCAGGATAATTTGTTTTGAATATTTTATTTTTTTCCCCTACACAAATAAAACTAGGTACAGAAATAGAGTCTCATTAATCATCTTGTAGTGATTGATTTGGTGCTCTGTCCCTACCCTCTTTACTGTATACATGGTGGACATATTTTCCAGCCAGCCAATAAAATTGTCATTTTAATCTTAATGGCAGCATATGTACTATTTCATTAATATAGTGATTTTTCCTTAACCATATATCACTGAATATTTAGGTAAGCTCTATGTTCCTATGTAAACTACACTATGAACAAGTTGTGCGTGTAACATTAATATTGATTTATTTCCTTTCAGTAACCATAATAATATCGCCTCTTTGGGTGTGCATTTGCATTTTAATAGGTATTAAGCCTTAAGCCAAAAGAACACATTTCTAAAAGAGAAATTCAGGTATCAGTTAATGGGAAAGAATGTATTTGGGGAAGATTTTATCCCTTTCTGTTCCTCAAGAAATCTTTGTAATTAGACGATTGCCTGCAACTGCCTACTCATAAATCTGAGTCAAATTATATGTGTTATTCGGTGGATAAGCTCCCTTTAATTATTAATATTTTGGCAAACACTCTAAACCCAAGGAATATTTCTAGTTTTCATTTGTAATGATCTGCAACAATTCCAGATACTTATGTAAAATTCATTTAAACTTCCTATATCTGCTAAATTATGTTATCAGTCTTACCCACTATCTCGTTCTGTATTACGTTGGTTCATTCCCCTGGAATACTTCCAAAATTGTTATCTATCAAAGAGTTATGAAATAAGCTAGTAGAAATGTCATATTATTTTTTCTTTCTTTTTTAAATTATTGTCATTTTATGATACAGTCCAAAGGCCCTGGCATTTCCCCTACCCCTTCCTCAAGTCCCCACCCACTGCACACACTGAGTTCTCTCATGTCATTACAATAGCATAGTTCTTCATAAACAGTTGTAAGTCCATCATTGCGGGCATGGTCAATGGCAGAGAGTCCGTCATCCTATTGTCAAGATATAGTTAACAGTTTCGTTGGGATCCAGAAGTAGAGATTCACACTGTACTAGTCCTCACATCTGGACATGTCAGTCTCCACTGCACAGTCACTATAAACCCCCCTAAGTGAAAAGCCACAACAAAATCAACAACAGGAGGGAAAACAGAAATTTACAATGCCATAAAGCTAAACAACATGCCACTAGATATGATAGTCTTCATTGCACAGTTACTATACATCTCCTTAAGTGAAAAACCACAAAACAGAACAGGAAAGAAAAAAGAAATTTACAACACCATGAAGTTAAATAACATGATACTGAATGTCTAATGTGTCACTGAAGAAATGAAAATCCAAAACCTTCTTAAGAAAATGATGCTACTGGGCCCGGCGCGGTGGCGCAAGTGGTTAAAGGTCCTCGCCTTGCACGCCCGGGATCCCATATGGGCGCCGGTTCTAATCCCGGCAGCCCCGCTTCCCTTCCAGCTCCCTGCCTGTGGCCTGGGAAAGCAGTCGAGGACAGCCCAAAGCTTTGGGAACCTGCACCCACGTGGGAGACCCAGAAGAGGCTCCTGGCTTCGGATCGGCATAGTATCGGGCCGTGGTGCTCACTTGGGGAGTGAATCATCAGAGGGAAGATCTTCCTCTCTGTCTCTCCTCTCTGTATATCTGCCTTTCCAATGAAAAAAATAATAAAAATAAATCTTTAAAAAAAAAATTTAAAAAAAAAAGAAAATGATGCTACTGTATGAGCTATGAGTCATTGAAGAATTTAATGAGAAAAAAAAGGTGTTTTGAAGAAATGAAACTATTAAAAAAACCCATCAAAATCAATGCAATATAGTCTCCATTGATCATTGTTGGTGAGATATATCTCCTGTAGGTGATAAATAGATGTGTTTTTTTAATCCAGTCTACTATTCTATGGTGTTTCATTGATAAGTTCAATCCATTTATATTAAGGGTTAATGTGAATAGGTGGAAATTTGGTCCTGTCATTTAGCAATGGGCTGTTCATTGATTTAGTTTTCTGTTGTAATTTTACTGAGATGTTCCTCATGTTTGCCTTTGATTATGGTAGGTGTTATTCCTTTTCTCTGTCAGGAGGACATCTTAAGTAACATTTGTAGGGCAGGTTTGGAAGAGGCATATTCTTTTAACTTTTCTTTACTGTGGAAGAACTTTATTTCATTTTCAAAGACAAAGGAAAGCTTTGATGGGTACATTATTCTGGGCCAACCATTTTTTTGCTTTTAGAATCTGGAATATGTCACTACATTCTCTTCTGGCCTTTAGAGTTTCTGCTGAGAGATCAGCTGTGACTTTAATTTCCATTCCTATATGTGTCCATTGATTTTTTTTCACGAGCACATTTGAGGATCTTTTCCTTATGTTGGATTGCCAAGAGCTTTATTATTGTATCATGGTGAAGATCGCTTTTGGTCGAACCTGTGGGGAGTCCTGTGCTTCTCCTGGATGTTGTTTTCCAATTCTTTCTCCAAACTAGTGAAAATTTCACTTATTATTTCATTAAATACATTTGCAAACTCATCTTCTCTTTCTGCACCTTCTGGAACTCCTATAACTGTTACATTTGGCATTTTAATAGTGTCTTTCAATTCTTGAATATTTTTCTTTTGGCCTGATCCAGCTCTGCTTCCAGCTGTTTGATTGTTCCCCCATCGTGACAAGAAGTATCTTCCAATTCTGATATTCTTTCTTCTGCCTCATTCATGCTATTATGGAGACTTTCCACTCAATTTTTAGTTTGCTCTATTGCATCCTTTATTTCCAATAATAATTTGGCTTGATTTTATTTGAGTGTTGCTATTTCCTGTGTGACTTATTCCTTAAATTCTTTCATGTGCTTCTAGTTGTTGATAAGAAGGCTATACAAGTGTGTTGAATTCTATATCTCCCATTTTCTTGACATATTACTCAGTTAACTCTGAGATTGACAAAGGCTTTTGCTCCTTTGCAGGGGAGCCTTCAGTAATATTAGTTGTGCCTTCATCTCTTCTTTTATTCTTGGTCATTGTACTTGTAGTTAGCAGATTCTTCTTGGGGTAAGTTTCTAACCTGTGTCACCTACAGGCCTGCAATTTGATTTTACTTATTGTGGTTGGTACAGGATTCTTTGTTTGCAGTCCCTTGTGCCATCCCCCTCTCCTCAAGTGAGTTTCAGATCTGAGCTCTTATGTTAGACTTCCACCTTTGTCTTCATAGCCGCAGCTCCTGGCTCTCCACTCTACCACCTGTGATACCATGCTGATTTTGCCTTGTTGTCTGCACATTTTCCAACTTCTGGATCACACAGCTCCCAGTATTAGGGAGACAACAACTGTCCTAAATAGGTAGGAGGGCTGAGGGGCCACCTGGACCTATTTTGAATCTTCAGATGCCAAAGTCATTATTTTTGGTGTGGGACCAGTGCAATGCACTGAGCTTGGTGAGTTCGTCCCCAGCCCAGTGCATGCAGTCATGTCCCATAGCTTTTGCCTCTCTGCATAAGATAGCAACTGATTTGGCTCTACTGGGGATTTGGGCTGTGAAATCTACCCTGTTCCCGCACCACCTGTTTGGATCTGTTGCTCTCTCTCTCTCTGCTCCTATCAAATCAAACGTACAAGCAGGAGGGGAAGTTCTTTGTCTGGGTTCACCTCCTGAGTTCCTGATGAACACCCCTTCCCACCTGGTTGCTGGTGGAGTTTCAGCTGCAGGTACAGTTCAGATCGCTGCTGACTGCTGCTGGAATGTCTTGTTCCTGAAACACCATCCCGCTCTTTCTGCTGCTTTTTTACATCCATCAGTCTCCAAGTGCCCCTCTGCCATCAGTCTGTCCTCTCCTATTTCCTGGAATGTGCCCTCTCTGCTTCACACTGGCTAATGTTTCTTTAACTATTTAAAAGTGTCCCCACCCTATTCTGCCATCTTGATTGCTAGCTATTATTTTTTCAATATTCATTACAAACAAAAGTGTGTAGAATTTTAAAAATAACCTTTATCAGATATTTCATTACTTCTTACCTCCTAATTTTGAAGTTATTTCCCAAATTTTAAGGAAACACCAACTGTGGAATTGGAGTGTTTGTAGAATATACAATATAATAGGTTCTTTGCAAGGGAAAATATTTACAATATCCATGCAACTGAAATGTCCAGCTGGAATTCTAATACAGCACGGATAGTAAATGGTTTAAGACCAAAACCAAAAACTTTAGAAAGTATTGTTCCAAAGTGTTCAGCAAAATCTCAGAATATGTTTTATTGTTGAGGGCTGAGCATATAAAGGTTAGAGTTGAAACTTTGAATATAAAGATGATCAAAATAGATCCAAATGCATGGTCCCTTGGTAGGATGAATTCTCTGTATGCTTAGTTTTAAAATGCAAGTAAACAAAACAAATACCAAATATAAAATAAAACTCAGCTATTTTGTCATTAAAGATGACAAATCCCCTGAGATATGTGCAGCAATAAATAAACTAATTAATTAAATATAAAGGATGCATTTAAAAATTATTAATCCCAGAACATTTAAAGAAGTATTTTACTGAATATTTGCTACCAATAAAAGAAAGCCCTGAACATTAACCTGTCATCATTTCTGTTAGTGACGAGAGAGAGGAAAAAGTGATTCTGTGCCTTTAATTTCCCTTTCTGAGCAAGGGAAGGCTGCACACCACTGACAAGCTCACTTGTTCCCGTCTTTAATGTGCAATCTGTTTTCTCCAGCGGAGGGCACTCAGTGTATCACAAACTCAAGCATTAGCACCAACAAGCTCTGAGCATCATCAGTCTCTGGAAAGCCTTCTGAATTAGACAAGGGCTGCCTCTCAGCACAGCTACAAAACACTTTAAACCTGACCAGCTAAATGGATAAACCTAGCCTGCATAGCTTTTAAACTGGGGTCTCACACAGCACAGGAGGCCTACTTGCTTCAAGAACTGAAAATCCAGAGGATGAATTGCTTTATCTGGAAATGGCAAAAGCCAGCACAATAAGGAATGCCAGGTACTCTGTGAAGATTTTCTTTCTTTCCTGCCTTTTTACACAGAAGTTGGTTACCTCCGAGATGGGCTGTAGCTCTTTTGCACAGATTGCCAATTAACTGCTGATGGGTCTCTGGTGAATTACACAATGGTCCTCAGAGCCTAGAAACCATCCCCCACCCCTACCCCCCCCCAACAGCTTCCTTTTCCCTGCCCCCTCATCCCAATCCGCGCTGATTTTTTTTTAAATATATATGTATATATTATTTTTGCCTGTCCTCTCCGGGGAAGTTTGTGTGGGGCTACTAGCTCACATGCGGGATCAGAATGGTGTGAATGACAGCCGCACTGTGTCATGAAGGTGGTGGTGGTTTCGGCACGAGAGACCAAACAAGAAGAAAGCTGAGAGAGGGGGGAAACGTTTTGGATGACAAAGGATGGGTAAGTGAACTTTTGTTGTTTCCTTCTTAGAAAAGCCGATCCTCTTACCTTGCTCTCCTGAGTCCTGGCATTCGCTGATAAAAGACGGGGAAACCGGCAAAAAGCAGCAGCCTTTGAGTTTGCCAGTTGACTCACTATAGTTGCTATTTCATTTTTAGATCATTTTCCCTTTTGCAGTGTATTTTTTCTTAATCCTTAAATGCATAACACGGACTTAAACAGACTCTAGAGAGATGTCTTGAAAACTGTCTCTACCGTCTGCGTATCCACAGCTTGGAAATTGTGCATGAGATAAATAATGTGTTTGTTTCTATTTCTTCACAATATTAGCCGCGCTTGTATTTCTGATCGCTGTCTGGAAGATTGGTGACACTTTACTGCTTGTGTGTAGGGGTGGGGTCCTCACTTTACCAGAGGTTGCACAAGGGCTTGTTTTATCTTTGAAGCCGTATCCTGACCACAGCTTTCAAATTTCCAGCAGTCATTTGCCAGTCTTATTTTTTCAAGTGTGACTGGCTTCCCTTTGCTTCCCCCCCACCCCATCCCCTTCTCCTGTCTGGGAGAGCAGGAATGTATTTCAATGAGTCTATAGCTGGCAAGAGGGCAGAGAACAAAATCGGGTTTTAAATTAATTTTTTATAAAAAGGCTTAGCTGAGAAGAAGGAGGGTTTTTAGATTAAAGATTTGGCTGATTGCCTCTTGGGTTAAAAATATGAATGTTTAAGAACAAAAAGAAGCTGCAGTACACCGGAGGGTTTTTTTTTTCCACTGTTAAGAAATAATACATGTGTTGACAGAGGAAAGAAGTCCTTAACATGCAATGACTTGGAAATGCAGCATTAGTGCCAAAACACTGCAACTTTGCAGGCTTTCTGAAGTTAATGGAGGGAGGGTAGGAAAAAAAAAAAAAAGAGTCATGAGAAATTTGAGCAGGTTGGGGTAGAGAAAAGTAGTTGGCTGTAGGTTTCCTTGTTTATTCTTAACATTTGAACATGCAGCTGAATGAAACAATAATTTCAGTATAATAACATACAAGATCATTTTGCATTTTGTACAAGTATGTAACAGGAATTTTTCAGTCTTAACTTTGGAGTGTTCGGTTATGAGCAATTTGATCGCCCAGCCCATGTATGCTGGGCAGGGAGCCACAGTGTAATATAGTGCATGCTTATTGACAAATTGAGAATTCCTTGCACTGTTAGTAGCCTTTTTACTGTGCTTCATTTGCTTCCTGTACTTGTTCCAATGCTGGTTTCTTTCTTTCTCTTTTTTTTTTTTTTTTAAATCAAAGCTCCGATCCTGCTACCCCATTATGCAATAAGTCTACAGTTTCAGGCAGGGCAAACTTGGGTTACCTTGACAGCTTTCTGAAGTTCCTTTGTCAAATCACAGCCTGTTTGCTCAACTAGGAAAGGCGGTCAAGTGCTGGATTCATGAATTATATTTCTACCCTTCTCAGAGAGGTAGCATAGTCTATTGGTATGGTTGCTCCCATTCAGTGACTAGCCAAATATTATTAACATGTGAGCATTCAGTGGTTAAGACAATCTCTGTGCTTTTCAATACTGAAGTTCATAGGACATCCTGTAACTCAGAAAGGCTTTTCTTAGTTCTCTGGCACTGTTGTGATCTGACAGTCAAGGAAGAGAGAATGTGCAACACAGAAGAAAATAATGTTTTCAGTATTAAGTCAACTCTCCCATTACTGTCCAAGATGAAATTCCCCAGATATTGGTAAGCTAGTGATGATTTATTTTAATAGCTTCACAATGCGCATCTGTCTTGTCTTTAATATTGTAGGTTTCCATTTAATTACGCAGCTGAAAGGCATGAGTGTGGTGCTGGTGCTACTTCCTACGCTGCTGCTTGTCATGCTCACAGGGGCTCAGAGAGCTTGCCCAAAGAACTGCAGATGTGATGGCAAAATTGTGTACTGTGAGTCTCATGCTTTTGCAGATATCCCTGAGAATATTTCTGGTGGGTCACAAGGCTTATCACTGAGGTTCAACAGCATTCAGAAGCTCAAATCCAATCAATTTGCTGGCCTTAACCAGCTTATATGGCTTTATCTTGACCATAATTACATTAGCTCTGTGGATGAAGATGCATTTCAAGGGATCCGCAGACTGAAAGAATTAATTCTGAGCTCCAACAAAATTACCTATCTGCACAATAAAACATTTCACCCAGTCCCCAATCTCCGCAATCTGGACCTCTCCTACAATAAGCTACAGACATTGCAATCGGAACAATTCAAAGGCCTTCGGAAACTCATCATTTTGCACTTGAGGTCTAACTCACTCAAGACTGTGCCGATTAGAGTTTTTCAAGACTGTCGGAATCTTGATTTTCTGGATTTGGGTTACAATCGTCTTCGAAGCTTGTCCCGAAATGCATTTGCTGGCCTTTTGAAGTTGAAGGAGCTCCACTTGGAGCACAACCAGTTTTCCAAGATCAACTTTGCTCATTTCCCACGTCTCTTCAACCTCCGCTCAATTTACTTACAGTGGAACAGGATTCGCTCCATTAGCCAAGGCTTGACATGGACATGGAGTTCCTTACATAACTTGGATTTATCAGGGAATGATATCCAAGGGATCGAACCAGGCACATTTAAATGCCTCCCCAATTTGCAAAAATTGAATTTGGATTCCAACAAACTCACCAACATCTCACAGGAAACTGTCAACACGTGGATATCATTAATATCCATTACCTTGTCTGGAAATATGTGGGAATGCAGTAGGAGCATTTGTCCTCTGTTTTATTGGCTTAAAAATTTCAAAGGAAATAAGGAAAGCACCATGATATGTGCAGGACCTAAGCACATCCAAGGTGAAAAGGTTAGTGATGCAGTGGAAACCTATAATATCTGTTCGGAAGTCCAGGTGGTTAACACAGAAAAATCACACCTGGTGCCCCAAACTCCCCAGAAACCTCTGAGTATCCCTAAGCCTACCATCTTCAGATCTGGTGTCACCCAACCCACCCTAGAAACACCAAGCCCTTCCCCAGGGTTCCAGCTTCCTGGCACAGAGCAAGAGTATGAGCATGTTTCTTTTCACAAAATCATTGCAGGGAGTGTGGCTCTCTTTCTCTCAGTGGCCATGATCCTCTTGGTAATCTATGTGTCTTGGAAACGCTATCCAGCCAGCATGAAGCAACTCCAGCAACACTCTCTTATGAAGAGGAGGCGGAAAAAGGCCAGAGAGTCTGAAAGACAAATGAATTCGCCTTTACAGGAGTATTATGTGGACTACAAGCCTACAAACTCTGAGACCATGGATATATCGGTTAATGGATCTGGGCCCTGCACATATACCATCTCTGGCTCCAGGGAATGTGAGGTATGAACCATGATCATCCTAAAAGCGTTTCTACTACAGGGAAGGAGAGGTAAATGTTTGAAGCTCTAGAGGTGTCTCTAATCACTAGAAAGATTAATGACCCTTTTGCTTTTGGGTTTTGCTCAGTGTGAAAGGTTACTTAATTAAATTACAACCACCAGGAAATTGACTGCTTTTTTTTTTTAATGGTTGAAACTTGAAGGAAGTTCATTCAAGGATGAGATTAAGTTGGAATAAAATACTATGTTAAAACACCTGCTTTTTTTTTTTAACCATTTATGTACAGGGGTTGGACTTAAGGCCACAGATACACACAAACTGTTTTCATTCTGAAATTTATGTCTGGTTTTTGGTGTTTGAGTGTTGTAATGAAGTGAAAAAGGAGGGACCAGCTTATTTTAAAAACAAAGTGAGTTTACCAAAATTCCAGGAGGTAACAATGATTTAAACCAAAGAACAATTTACACAAGGGTTGATTTAATTGTAAATTTTTCGTTTTGATTAAAGCATGCAACAGGGAGCTCACAACAGTGTTACTTGCCATTAATTACTTTACCAGCACAGAGAATGTCAGAGGCCGTTAGGATTTTAAGACTTCTTTCTTTCTTTCTTTCTTTTTCTCTTTCCTTCTCTGGCCAAATCCTCTCCCTCCATATATATATATTGCTAGGATATAAATCACTTTTCAAAGGTTTTCAAAGTGCTGGTTATTAACTGTAATGAGAATGAAACAACTTCCATGTTTTGATTTTGTCCATGGTAACCAATGTCAGGTCATGTTATTGTGGATGAATTAGCAATAAAAAAAAAAAATGGCAGGCATAACAAGGATTGCTTGTAAGCTCTCATCCCCAAAAGGAATTATGTGTATTCTTGTTAAACCTATTAAAAGCTAAGTGATGCAAGTATTTATAAGTAAAAGCAGCAAGGTTGAGGTTCTGGATATTCTCCCTTTCTGTAACAGCATCAAATGAAGGTATGGATTTCATGTTTAACTCTTTTTGTTTACACGAGAATGAGTGTGGGCCCTGTTTCCGATTATTTAATTTTAAAGATCATTTATAGGAACATGTTACTATGTGGAAAAAGAGTCATTAATATTTTCCTACCTGTTGATAAATAGTACTGAATGTAAATTGTTCTTTTCTTGGTAAAGTCAATGATTGTGTGTGAAGTCCGTGACTGCCAAAGCATTTGCCACTGAAATAAGGTACTGAAAAGTGGTTGAGATCTGGCAGTCTGCTATTTTATCATCTGATTTTTAGGGGACTGCTTTTTCAGAAGAGTTTAAATGATTATTTAAGGACTGCCCTTTAAGTGCTAGTTATAACAGTTGGAAATGTAATTTGCTTTTTGAAAATACATTCTCCAATTTTTCCATTATCCTGAATGTACATGCTAATGAAAATGTATTTAGGCAAAGCTCTAGATTTCAAATGATCTCCAACAGTACAATTTGGATTATTGAAATATTCTTCATGGATTTAATTTTCTAATTTTGTGTGTATCTCTGAAATCAAGAGACATAATCCCAGGTAACAAAGTCTTAAAAGAAATTTGTATAAATAGTCACCCTTAAAAATCAAAGAGAATAAAAGATTTTCAATGTAAGTCCAACAAGCCTTGATGTTTTTATTGTAGGCCTACATCTACACAATATACATGATATTAATAACAAGTTCATTCCTTCTTTCTTCTACGTGTTCCTTGTATTTCATGATCCTTTAAAGGCTAGGAACATTAAGGCACAGGAAGAATCTGTGTCCACTTATTCATTTTCTCTTAGCCTGTGTAATAGGATGTTGATTCTATTCATAAAATTCACCAAGAAGGAAGAATAACTTTAGAGAATGAGGACCTGAGAAAAAGGTGTCTATATTTCCCAAAAGCCTTAAATTATTCCTTGAAAACCCAAGGTATTATGAAAAAAGTCAATAAATAAATGCTGTTTTATTTCATAAAACATGTTTGTTTAAAAACACATTTTTATTCTGTGTGTTCTATCAAGTGGTACTTAAGGTCATGAAGGTGCAGTAGTCTGATTGTGAATGAATGAGTTGTTAGGACATTAAATATTAGAAAATTGAATACATATTATAATGACGCTATTGAGTCAACACGACAACCTAATGGAAGATCAAACTCTCCATACCCTAAAAAAAGAAAATTGTCAGATTCGCCATTTAGTATCATTACTTCAGTTTGGGGGGATGGGTGGGCAATGAAGCTACATTTAAATGAAAAGTAACTTATTCTGAAACATAAAGCAAATATTGTCACTAGCCTCACCATTTTGAAAGAAGTTTAATGTGTGAAAATTTTACGTGGACATAAAACATTAGGAAAAACCAATTCTTAGAAATTGTTGTTAGGGGAAAGCCAATTATCCCCTTTTTTAACAGTAAAATGTTACCTGCTGTAAAATGTTTCCTCAGATAAACCTTCTCTACAAAATGAATCCAAGAGAGCAGAATGATTTGCCTAAGTTAATTGTTTTTCAAATATGTTGCAAGCAAAGCTATGCTGAGTTTTCACTTGCTGCTGTTTTCATAAATATCGTGTATCAACAGTTTAGAAAAAGAAGAACCATTTATAAAATAAAATTTGTGAGGCAGCTTTTAAAAAAAAAACTCTATCCAATAAAGCCATAAATATTTAAATAGAACGCTTAGCCTCAAATGCTACTTTTTTACGATAGTGCCTTGCTGGAAAAAAATTGCATTATTAGAAAATCCACTTTCTACCAAATTTTCAATTCATGTATCATGAACTCAGTATGATAAGGAAATTCGAGGATTATTTTAAGAGTAAAATAAAAGTATTTATATTCTTCATTAAAATGGTATCTGTAAGCACTCAACCAAAAGAGCATGCAATTGTCAAGTTAAATAATTTTATTTGTATAATTTGCAATTTTAACTTTATAAAGTCAGTCTGGGTATAATCATAGTAATATACTGAAGAAAAATATTATAGTTAGTTAGACAGTGAGCTTTCTCATATCTATAAGGAGTATTACACAATATAGTTATGAATAATTAATATATTGCACAAGTGTAAGAGATACATATAGATATAAGTCATGACACATCAAGTGGATCAGTGAACATGGTTGAACCAAATCATTTAACTTCCCTGTCCTAAATATGTATTCAAAAAATAATTTTGTTTAAAACTTGTTAAACTACTACTCTAAGTAGAGAAAATTGCAAGTATTTTAAAATAATATGAAATTTCTCATATTTTACCTCTTTAAAATAATGCAGAAATCACAAAATTATTTTGTGTATATTTCTGTAGAAATGATTAAAAACATGTTTTAATATCTAAATCTCATAGGATTTATTTTATCAACAGAAAATAACAATGTCCGTTATGATATTAGCAAATGTGAACACAGGATAAGAGAGAACTTTGGAAGAGTGTCTTTTACTTCAAAAATAATGCAATTGGCAAAACCTTAAAATGAATGAAAGCATTCTCTGAAGAGATTCCCCATCCAAAATGCCTTAACTGTAAAGCAACTGAAATGTAAATTTTAGTGATCCCATAAAGCTAACATTGTTTCCTCTTGGAAATAGCATTATGGATGATAATATAGATGTGTATTTCCTATTTGTATAATATTTTGGTTATATTCATCAAAATCAAGTTACAGCAAAAATACTGGTTTTAAGTTTAAGCTTAATATATTTCTTTCATTACTATTCATATTCATATTTAGTGAAGCCATTGAGTCAAGGTTAAGAAAAATACTGTGACTTAAGGTGCACCACTAACCTCTTTTGATAATTCAGAAATTGGCATTTCGCCGTGTACTGAACAGATTTCCTAGGGGTATAAAGCATACTGTATGTTCAAATGTAATTATGGGTAAAATAGGCTTAGTATCATTAAACTTAATGAAATCTTTACCAATATAAAGCTATAAAAAATAAACTTTATTGAGCTGACCCACTACTGTGTCAAAGTAAAATGTAACTGAGACCCTACCAAGTATATTTGTGTGTGTGTATATTTGTGGTTTTTGTATATGAGTTTCTATGTAAATGTACAATCGGGGGAGAGAAAATACAAGTATTTTTCATCATAACTAATGTCTGTTTTGAACATTTGTAGTACTAATGAAAAAAGCTTACCCCTCTATATTCTACAAATTCTCTTTTAAAAACAGCACAATTTGAAGTAGTCAACTCAGTAGGTATGCCACATAATGGGGTGTGATTTGGTGCTACTCACTTCATTTCCCTGTGACCCCCTCAAATGGAAGTACTCCACCAGCACAACATCTCCTAGGGTTAAAAAAAAGAAGAAGAAGAAGAAGAAAAGGAAAAGAGAAAGAAAATCAAGCAAACAATCAACCAGACCAATGATTCTCAGGACTGAACAGGCAGGAGACCCTAAGAAGAAAAAAACAAAAACCAAGCTAGTTATTCATGTGTCAATGACTGTGAAACATGAATGATTAGATGCTTAAGCAAACAGCCGTGCGATTCTCTGTCCTTCAGGAGAAGATGCATGGCACGCTTACACAGACATTCAAGCACACACACAAAAACCTTTACATTCTGAAACCACTTAAAAGTATAACTTCTTTTTAAAGAAATCTATTGCCTGAGTTTTATCAAATTAAAATCTGTTTATGAAAAGATTTCATTCAAATTCACAAATGGTAGTGGTAAAGAGTGACAGCTGCCAAAAAAACTGAAATGGCCAATTAAAGAATGATTTTTAGCTGACTATGTATGTGTGTATGTATATGTATACTTCAATTATTTTTCTAAAATTAGCTGCTATTAGCATGTCATGGATGAGATCTGAATAATCAGTTGCTTTCTTAAGAGCGTAAATTGTAGAGTTACCCTGTGGTCTGAAGAATGTATAGTTTTTGACACACCTCCAGTAAACTTCAAATACCAGAATTTTTCTTCTTAAGACTTCTATATTCAATGGAATCTAATCATTGCTTGTTTTCTGAAATTGTACTTATACACAGTCTA